AAAAAAAACCGTGTGTGCAGTGAAGTGAAAGAAAGAGAGAGATGTGTGTGCAGAAAAGTGAAAGAAAGAAAAAAAAAATATAGAAAGGTGTTGTGTTGTGGGAAAACGTGAGAAGAATGAAAGGAAAAAAAAAGTGCGCAGGTGTGTGTGCAGAGAAGTGAGAGAAAAAATATACATCCGTGATATTTTAAAACAATAAGGTAAATACATATTTTGATATTTTAGTCATTTTTTACAATAACAGTTTTAGTTTTCTATGTTACAGTGCATTTAAATCAAATTCTATATACACTTTAAAGTGTGGGACTGTGATTTACTCCTTGACACTCTTCACGAAGATAAATCTTATATACGCTTTATGGTGTGAGATTTCTTATTTGTAATGCTCTTAATAAATTTCTAATACACTCATGGTGTGTCGTCTCTCGTTCTTATCACAATCCTATGATTATTACTAAGACTTGGATTTCTCTTTAGAGATCTATATAAGTTAAATGTGATTTCAAAAAAATCAAGAATTAAAAGTTTCTCAAATTATTTGTTACGATTGTTTTGAGTGCAATTCGAGTGAAAAATTCATACGAATTACACTTTAAGGATCGGCATATAAAAAATTATGTGCATACGATCTATATGAAAATATTCATATAAATCACACTATACCCGTCAAGAAATAATCAAACAATGAAGATTTAAATTAAAAAAAAAAAAAAAAAAAGAAGAGCAAGCAACCTTCACAAAAGTTTACGTACGTGCTTGCTGTGACGCTTGCTACGATGTTTGCAGGGAAGAAACTAAAATGGTTCATTTGAAGTTTACGTACGTGCTTGTTGTGAGTTGTGATGCTTGCTACGATGTTTGCAGGGAAGAAACTAAAATGGTTCACGTGCTTGCTGTGACATATATATATATATATATGTGTGTGTGTGTGTGTGTGTGTGTGTGTGTGTGTGAAAAAAAAACGTGTAAGATGGATGAGGGAAATCCAAGTTTCCTGTGAAATCAAAATTATTAGCAAAAAAGAAGGGATATATATCATACAATCTAATCAAATGGTTTGGATATGATGAAATTTAAAATTTTAAAAAATGGGATAAGGGATAAAGGATAAATTTCAAAGAAATTCAGAAAATTAAATACCCAAAAATTTAAAGTGCACAAATTGAGTCCCTTTACTGCCCCTTAGTTTAAAAAGATGAGCTCATTATCTCATAAAACCATATGATGATTAAATACAATTTTCAAATCCCAAATTCAAGAAAACAAATCTCTCAACACCAAATTCAAAAATGATCCTTCTAATTCCCCATAAGGTCATATACGGGAAATTATCCAAATATAATTTTCAAATCCAAATTATAAAATAAAATTTCAAATCAAATTTTAAAATATATTTGAATTCCTCCTATGGTCATATATCGGGGAATTCTCTAAAATCCAAATTCAAATTCAAGAACTACGATTGACTTGATCCCTATCGGATACGTAGGCAACCTAAAATTTAGGTGCAGTTTCAAGACCAAATTCAAAGACTAAATCAAATTTCAAAGTGCGTAAATTCCTCATAAGGTCATACACCGAGGAATTATCCAAAATTTTCAAATCCAAAATTCGAACTACAAGTGGCTTGATCCCTCAACGGGGTATGTAGGCAACTCGATAAAATTCATTAAGTTCAAGCACAATTTTAAATCAACCCAAATTTCTCAAATTCACAGAAAATAGAATTTACTGTTTTAATTGGAATCAAAAGGTCTTCCCTTTGTACCAAGAGATTGTAATTAAGAGGTTATTCGTATAATCTTGAATAGGTCAAACTAAAAATAATAAACTCATATTTTAATTAAATCCTAGTATAGGTGAAATTATGTTGTGTGTGAAATATTATTTTAACATTAATAAATATTCTTACTCAACACGACATTAATGGGTTTTTTTATATTGAAAATAATCTCTTGATAAAACTATCAAACGCATTTTCAAAAATGATTTCTGTCTGAGATTGAAAACGTTTTCATTTTCATACAAAAAACAAAATCATTTTGAAACAAGTTCCAAATGATTTATGTCTGAGATTAAAAACGTTTTCATTTTCATTTTCATACAAAAAATAAAATTATTTTAGAACGAGTTCCAAACGCGCGCCCATTGTGTTTGATTTTCTTAAGTAATGGATGATGTTGTGTTTAATATTCTCAAGTGAAAGGAAAGTATGCAGTCTGTGTTTGATTTTAAAAAGAAGTGGATGATACTGTGTTTGAATTTCTTGAGTGCTCCTGTACTGTGTGATGTGAGATTTATTTATTTATTTATTTTACGCAAATCATCATATATCATATACTACAAAAAAATAAAAATAAAAATTGAAGAAAATCAAAATGATCTAATATCTTGTGAAAAGGTAGTCAAAGTAGGCACCGACTTGTACAAAAGAGGAGAGGAGAAAGTTTTGGGGTAAGATTATATAGCTAATCCAGGCTATTCAAGATGAAACAAAATCTCGAAACAAATCCAAGATGTGTAACACAGGTCACATATGAATATGTCTAAGCTCTGACTACTTCTAACTTCCTTATGAAAAAGCTCGTCTAAGTTCTATTTCTTTCAAAAACAAAACTTTCTACTCTTCCGCTAAAAGGTCATATCTGATTGTAATTAAAGCTAATCCCAAATTTCTTAACCAACTAAATGCTTACTTGCGAAGTTCCTCTACGGCTCCAAAGCTTCTCAATATTTTGCTAGCCTCTTCCGCACCAGAATCACGTTCAAGATTCCTTGCCTCCAATTTTCAGCTTCATCACTTCTTAATAGGTCTACCAATCCGATCTGTTGCTACAATAGGAGTATACAAGGTATCTGCTCATTTTCCAGAGAATTGTGATCCACGGAAGTTTAGGCGACTTTTAATATATATTGGCTAGCTGTTTTCGATATATAATCGTCACATGTGCATGGATGATAATGATAAACCCTGTAACGAAGAGCACGAAGGTGGCAGTATGTTCTTTGCTGACAACAGCAATTCAACCACATCTTCTATCTGAGGTCTCAACATGAAAACTTCATCAGCTAAATCTTTTTTTATCTGATCTTCCATTTTCCTGCAGAAGTTTAATTTTTTGGCCATCAAAACATTGCCGGAAAAGAGAAATGGGAAAACACTGTAAATGGACATTGAACGGACTTGAGATAAACCTAATAACAAACATATTGCAGAAAAACACAAAGCACCAAGCAAACACTTGGGACGTATAAGAACGAAAACATTTTGAATTATTGTTTACACTACAGATAGACAAATTCAGATAAACAATAAAGAGGAAAGAAATCAGGCACAGAACAAATTAACTTTATCACCGGACCTTATTTCAGATTCTTTCTCACTGCTGCTTTCTGTAAATAGCACCTTGATAACAGGATGTAGATCTAGCTTTGGAACCGCTTCTCCACTGCTCCGTGTGCTCAAACAATAACCAGTACAGGACCACGAGTTTGTGTTTACAATAACAATTTGCAACACAGGAACTTTGGTTATAAGATCTCTAACCACAGTTCGATATGATAATTCATCTTTTGCAAAATCGAGTAGCTGATTTGAAAACATTCTTTCCAATGTGTACTCCCTGTATAAAGGAGGAAACAGTCTCAATCTCAAATCAACCGTCTGATAAACCTTTACTCAGGCAAGTGTACATTAAGAAGAGCAAAGACTTAGGAAGGGGCAGGGCTTGATCGTGGGAGAGTTATTTTAGCCTTAAGTGGGAACTCTTAGTGTTAGTAGTAGGTTTTCTGGTTAGCTGGCAGGGGAAAA